ATTGACAGTTACTGTCAAACACTTTAGACAAAAGAATGTTAGTGAAGACAATTTTTTAATCACTATTCACTTTCTTATTTTTTTCTTTAACTCATGTTGTCACAGTGCATTTCTATTTGGCGTGGGAGTGACTTTCTTTTTTATAGACAATAACAAATACTTGTCTAGTTGGGATTGGGTGGTCTCGCCTTAGGAAAGTCATTCTGTCCTTTTAGTACTCCTGGATACATGCTTGCATTTTAGACATTTGCCAGCAGTGGTAGGAAGAGGACACCAGACAATTTCCTCCTTGTGAATTTCTTTCATTTTTAGTTTTCTGAGACTCATGTAGACACTTGTGATGTTTGCTTTTGAGCAATTGGAGTAGCTCCTAGCAGACTTTTTATGATGACGAAAGTTCGCGGCAGGCATGGTGCCACTGAGTTGAATCCCAGCCCTCACTTGTTTTTTCTTTTTTAAAGGAGGGTACTTCTAAGAGCGAACTGTGTATTTTTCAGATTTTCTTCACAAATGTGTGATGAGGTGCATTATAAAGCAGTTTTCTCAGAAACTTTGGAAATTTTTTTCCCCTAATTTCTGAAAAATTTGGACTGTGACAGTTAATGGCGGAGGAATGGCTCTGATTCCATTTTTGGTTTCTTTTTACTTCTAATTAAAACAGATGGGACCCCCCTTGCCTTTTGGAGTGGGGACTATGATGGAGTAAAATAACCACGAGAAGGCCGGTATTTTGCTTCCTTGCACGACTTACTTCATTTTAACAAGGCTATTTTGTGTTTCTTTGGCCCTCTATGAAACAGCGTTGCTGTGTGATTTTTCTTTCCCTTGAAGTCCTCTTAAGTTGTAGTAATTTTTTTTACTTAAAAAACTCAGGGCTGTATATTAGGTCTCTTTATCGTTTCAGATGATGAGAATTTTTTTTTTTTTTGTAGTTGACACAGTAGGTACTTTTGAATATGCTGAAATAGGCAATCTACTATAATCTTTTTCTTAAGTTTAGTTCATTGTCACAAACAAGTACAGGGATTCTTTGTAATCTTGTAGTTGCAAAAGAATGCATTTCTTGATTCTACTTTTTGGGACACTCACCAAGTACATTTTACTACAATTAATTGAAATACAGGCACAAAGGAAATGAGAGGCTGATCAGAATATTTAATTACCTTTAACTGTAATTTGATACTTTTTGCCCACTTTAATTGTGAGAAAGAAAGATATATTCATTTCAGACTATTGTGTGGGATTTAATGTTCTCAAATGCTCTTTGAAATTCAGAGAAAATTGTTCTTGATGGATATTTCGCCATCCTTGAGGGATCTTTAATTTGTTTGTTGTATGAGCAGTTATAATGGATATAAACAGCTTGCTTAACTACTCATCTGCCATTCTAAAGATCTGCGTTCTGCATTTCAACATGAAAATGCCTGCTCCTTCTTTTGTGTGGGCTTATTTTTGGCCGTGGCTATGGCAGACATAGGACCCCTTCTCCAATGCCGTCCATCCATCCATCCATCCATCTGTCATCTGAGGCACTCAGGAACCATGATTCCTTTGTTCTGATGTTTTCAGTTTTGGATGGAAGCTGCCCTGCCTTCCCTGGCTCTGCGTTCTTTGGAATGACCTATATAGAGGGCTGTGTTGTTCAATAGAAATACCCTCGTGTGCTCCTGGTCTGTTTTGCTTTGAGCTCAGGGTGTGAAGCCATGGTTTCAGGAGGTGCTTTGAGATGTTCTTCTCAGTGTACTCTGGCTTCTGTGTGATATAACCTTCACCATACCTTTGCTGGGTTGAGTAACCTTGCCCACCTTTTCCTACGGGAGATCAGAACTTTGAAGAGATCAAACATGCATTCCTTTTTCAAAATGGAAATACGGACCAGTATTGTAGAGGAACAAAGTTTCTTTTGAGATCTTTGGTGTCTGTCTTCCTTTTTGGTGGACATCGCAAATGTCCCTTTCCCTTCACATACATGCTTGCATGTGTCAGTGGATCACCTTTGTCAGAAACAAGTAAGACATCTTTGTTCTCTGAAATTTTGGCACACCCGTTTGCACTTTTGGAAGAAAATACCTGCATTCATAGATATGACTTTATTCTTGAATAATCTGATCCGGACTCGGTGACCTTTGCCTCTTCATGACAGTAAAACTAAGAAAAGCCATGTATGTCAAGAACTTTATTTAAAGTTCTGGTGTTCAGAGGAGCAGGGCTGTTTGGAGGAAAAATGTTTGCCTGCATATTAACACAGAAGAGTTAACACAGCTTCAAGTCATTTTCCCCCACCTCACAATTCCTGTGAAACACTGAGTGTGCGTACTGATTACACAGAATCCTTGTGAAGCTCTGCAAAGGCAGATCGGTTACATATCTGCTTTGAAATTCCCAGAATAAAAACATTTATTCTTCTAAACTGTGTCCGGTACCACTGGGAAATTAAATCATGCACATAGGAAACAATTTCGTTGATATCTTCAGTAGTAGGTACCTCTTAGGATATTTTCATAGGAAAGGATTGGGCCTCTGGGTCAGGAAACATTTTTATCTTTTTTGCTTTAGGCTAGAAATGAGGTAGACCAAGTGGAAGTTCTGAGAAGAGATGAAAACTCCCTGATGAAAATACCTGTCACTCATTTGCTCTCTGCCTAGCAACCAGGTTGACTTAAGATTCTAATTGCTGAGTGAAATGTAAGCGTTATTGGCTAGTTATTACTGTTGGTTTTGCAGTCTCCACTTTTATCTCATAGAATTAGTCAGAATTTTCCTGTGCAATGGGAGTGGTTGGACTTTGCTGTTTAATTTCGCTTCACTCTTACATGGACCCTTCACTGTTATTATATATATGGAGACTGCTTAAGTTTGAAATATCTCATCTGGTTTTCCAGCCTATTGGCATCATACCTGTGTGTGTGTGTGTGTGTGTGTGTGTGTGTGCACGCACACGCTTGTGCATGTACTTTGTGATGGTTACAATGACAATGGAGTTGACCTCCTTGAGGACGTGTATACAGCCGTGTGCACTACTGGGTTTTTGTGTTTTAACTTCTCTCCCAGTAACTTCTGGTGGTAAACATGATAAAGAGTCCTGAGCTTTCCTCTGACAGAGGACTTGAGTTCCCAAAGTCATTGGGATTGGTGCTGTCGAGCTCGGTGGGATATATGTGTATTTAATGCCATGTCTCCCCTTTTGTAAGTCACATGTTAACCGTAGGCAGATTTACCCTTACTGTCTGTTTTGAAGAGTGAAACTACGTATTTTCATAAGCATACTCCATTTTTAATTGTGTAATTAAGTTGCTGAATAAGCAAGTACGAAGTTTTGCATTAAGGTAAGGATCCGTAAAGGCATGCATTTGCAT